GTCTAAAACTGAATATACTAACATAATCATGTTATGCACATGCACTCACCTTAGCCTTGTTTGAATTGAATCAATTCTAACCCTTCGATTACTTTGAAGCAAAGTCACGTTCAATATCTACATAAGCATAATTTTCAAGATGATTATCAGATGCCTAAGTCTTGAAATTAACCTCTAATAGCCTACCAATTTAAGGGATTAATAGTTTAGTCTCTCTTCTTTCTTCTTCTTTTTTTTCATTATGGGGGAATCGGTTCCCCTCTAGCATTCTGGAAATTCATATTCGTTTGAGGGGGAATCGATTCCCCTTGGATGGGTACCGATTCCCCTAGCCCATAAATCCCATTTTGAGCTCGAAAATCACCTTATTTCAGCTTAAACCTTCCTATTTCACTTCCTTTAATACTCCTAACTTTAATACACATACTTAAACTTATTTCTATTCCCTAATCACTTCTTTAACTTCAAATCTAGTCATTCCTATGTAATTGCAAAAATTATACTAGTTTTGCAACATGTTCAAATTCCTATTCTAACACTTCCTATCCCTTAATTAACTTGATGACAAGTCAAATTCAACTTCCAATTCTCAATATAAACTTTATTTCGATATTTCATTCAAAAACTTCAAATCTTTAAATCCTCATAAACTCTTCATTTTGTTGTTTTAAAGCAAATTAATCTTTCCTTAATCTTACTTAGCATATAATAATCAAAACTAAACTTAAATTTCAGCACATAATCAGCTCAAGAGAAAACTCACCTTTGCTTGGCTTCACACGTGAAGAAGAAGAAGAAAAAGAATGGAACTCTGGAAACCTCTAAACTTTGTTTCCTTCCTTCCACGTGTATCTATATATACCATATATTATTATTATATTTTTCTTTTCTTTACAAATGACCATACTATCCTTTCATTCCTCATTCTTTTCAATTTGATCTTACACCTCATTTCTCATATAAGTCTTTAAACCACTCAATTATTCTAATTTAAATTACCAAATTTTGAAACCTTACAATTTAGTCACTAACCCGGTATTGAGGATGTTACAGAATACGTACAATAATTCTATCCAGTTCAATTTTGTCATATAATATAGTCATTTCGAGTAATTCAGACGCGTAAAATACATTCGATAATTTAGCCTTCGGGTGTTCGCTCTGGATATAGAAATTTTATGTCATTTTGGTATTCGAGGTTGATTTATTCATTTTGGAGCTTGAGGGTATTTAGTCATTTCAGGGCTTTGAGGTACTTTGGGTAATTTTACACTTTAGGGGTATTTTGGTAATTTCCTTTAATCTAATCTTGCCATTTAATTTAATTTTCTAAAAAATTCAAACATAAATAATACTCTCGATGTTTAAGTCTTTAGTTGTTTGCTGATAAATCAATAATTCTAGGTCATGTACCTTCTCGGATGTTAGGATCTGATTATCAGTAACTTTCCGAACAGATCAGAAATTTAACGGGTGAATCAATAGTTTGTCGGATTAATTATGAATTCATAGGGTACTTTCACTATCAGGGTCAGTCCGGATCATTTTTACCTCATAGGGGTAATCTCATAATTTTTTAATCAAGTATTCTCAGCATTTAACCTTTAAAGAAATTAATCAAAATTTTGGATCATGAGGTCAATTTATTTACTAACTAATCCTTGAACTTAGAATTATTTCCGATCAGTCTACCAATTTCTTTTGTAAGCCGTTTGAATCTTATACAATATACTACCTTTATTCCATATTTAGTTTGAGTCCAATAATAATTAAATACACTTATTTCACCAATCATTTCCATTCATGTATTTACCAATTATCAATGAGTTTTGAAAAGCATACAAAATGTAGTAGAATATTACCTCGATTTACAAGCCATATCGATTAACCAATTAAACTCCATTTGATCGCCCTCGAACTTAGAATTCCACGTCCCATGATGTATCAGATACATGGAAAAACCAATTACATTAGAAATAGAAATTAAACGTGAAAATTTGTATTGAATCGGAATATAAAATGCCAAAAATAACTTATTGGGATTGAATTTAGCATAACATACTTCGGATTCAGACTCAGAACATTGAAATAAAATAAAATATTACTTTTCAAAAATTTTGACTTTTTGGGTTAAAGTCAACGGTCAGTGGTGGTCAAAGTCAACGGTCAACGGTCAACTCTGGTCAAATTCAACAGTCAGTCAAAGTCAATGAGTTGACTTGGTCGAGTTGACTCAACTAGATGACTCAGTTCGACCTGGTTCGGTTTTGATTGGATCGGTTCAGTCTGATTGGACCGGTTCCAAAAGGCTCTTGGACCGGTTGGAGAGCGCTACGAACGGGGTGGTGACGCAAGTTAGGGCGGCCGGGCATGGGTGGATTGAGGCGTTGAAGGGATGTCACATCAGGGTTAGGGATTTGGCTCGATTTAATTTGGGGGTTTTTGGGCTTATCAATTTCTTAACCGATTATATATATATTTATATAAATATCATCAACATTACCCTAGCCTAAATTGCTAGGGCACAAGCGGTTTAACCAGGTGGTCAAGGGTTCGAGACTCCTTAGCCACAATTTGTAGATTTTATTTATTTTTCATTGTCAAGGAAAAATGGAAAAATTCAAGGTTAAGTCCCTTAACTTCTCAGAGTTTCAAAATTGAGTTACAAGTTTCTAAAAGTTGCAATTTGATCCCTAATTTTATTAAATTTGGGGTGTTACAATCATAAGCTATAGTTATAGATATGCAATTGAAAAAATATAAAGAGAATTATAATAATAATTATCTCTAAATAAAAAAAAATATAAAATAGGACTAAATTAAATAAACATAGAATTATAAACTAAAATTTAAATAAATTAAACAACGTGTAGGGATTAAATTGAAAAAAATTCAAAATATAAATGAAAATAATATCAAATTGAACTAAATTGCAAACATTTGGGTTTCTCAAAAACCCAATCTCCTATATTCTCCTTCGTAAACCAACATCGGTAAGGGACTCCACATACCTTAAAATGTAAATTTGAAAAAATTAGTGTTATTTCAGCCACCGAAGGGTGTCCCATGCACCACATACACCACCGTTGTGCATGTGGATGGGTTTCTAGTAGACCAGTTATATGGATTTGAGTGGTGAATCAATTAGCTGAAATCGAATCGGTATTGAACTATTGACTCGAACCGATCTGATCCGAACCGTTTACCTAGCCCATTTTGTCTATTGATAATTGACTTTAAACGTTGATCGTTGACTTTTTCGTTGATTGTTAACTTTTTTATTAACCATTATATTTATATTTTTTGACATCATAAGTTCATTTTTTTTAAATTATGACCCGAAAGCACGATTACACTTGAGTGCACGTCAGTTCATGATTATATGGTTATGTTGTATGTTTTCGACTACAAACATGTTCTATTTTCTGTTATTTGTTATGCAAGTATATCTAATTCATGAATATTGATGTATTATTCATGATTTCTAAATTGATGTAATTTTTGTATTACGATTATCAACGAAAGTCTCATGTGACTCTTTGGATGATAACATCCACATCATGTTTTCGATTTTTATTTAGAGTTCCTCTCCAGAGGTTAATTTGAGTTTCTCTACAGAGGGTAAAGTTTCCATTCTGATTTATGTATCTTGTATTCGGTCCTCCTACGGTGGTCTCGAGTGCCTCTTCAGATAGTAATGTCTCTATTCTGATTTCTGAATCATGTAATGATATTTTGATGAAAAATAATTGATTTTACTATTGTTTGATTATAATGATGTATATTATATCATGCTTGAATTAGCTATCGTTCAATATTCATATATATATATATATATATATATATTTAGAGGACACACTGAGATTTGTAACTCATTCTTTTAGTATATGGCTTTTTAAATTTCTTTGGCCTTTAGGACTTTGAGTAATACTTGGAAAATTGACTAATATCACATTTTTTAGACATCGTATGGACATTTTCAAACTTTGAGTAGTACTTGGAAAATTAACAAATTAAACCATTTATATTTTTGTTTATTTATATTATTGTGATCTATGAGATTTAGTTGTAATGTCTAAGTCGGAGAATACAAATTAAGCTTAAATGAAGGGAGATTTTAAAAAAAGGATTTCAACTTAATTGATCTTGATTTGATTCCTTTGATTTGATTGATTTTTAGCTTCTTAAATATTTCAATTCATTTATGATTTTTTATTAAAATATTAGATTTAAAATTTAAAATTTAAAATGTGAGAGAGTATAGTTATTCGTTGCCTATTTAAGGCATTAGTAAATGTGGAAACATGAAGCGTCCTTTGGCGCCCTTAATTTGACTTTTCCCTTTAAAACTACACAACCTTTTAGACTTTTTTTTTTTTTTGCTTGGAAGCATTGTCACTAAGGACCCTTGAAGCTTAAACAAACACAATGTCCTCTCATCCACCCTTTTGTATCTATTTATATAAACTATTTCACCATGTCATGCCAATTGGCAAACCATACAAAAGGAAACTCCCCTTGACGACAACAACAACAACAAAACCTAAATTTTATAATTTTAAAGGGTCCACATGCATCACTTTAATAATAAATTGCATTTATTTAGCATTTGCTTATGTTCATTCCATGGAGTGATGAAACCATCCCATTCCATGCATTATACTTCTAATAAATATTTATCAATACATGTGATTTTTTTATTTAAGTCGCATTGTATTATTTACTCATTTATTTCCTAACTATTTTTATGGGGTTTTGAGATTTTGTATTTTATTCTTCTTCTTGCTTAGAGGATAAACTAATTAAGAGGGGAGTGGTTGTGTGTTGTCTTTGAATCCAAGTTTCCGGTCACATCCGGTTGTTTGTCCAGTTGTAGTTTACTCGAGGCTTTACTTTTTTTCTACTCCTTTGGATTGTATAGTTTTTTTTCTACAAGTAAATTGCTTTCATGGGTGGTTGCAAAATCTTGGATTTAAACTCACTGGTTTAGTACCACTTAACAAAACAACCCCATTTCCAGCAGATTACTACTGTACCCAAGCTTTGAACTTTGCCCTTAGTTTCAGTTTCTTCATAAACCCCACATCTTCTACTCTGTTGCCTCTTTCTTTCTTTCTTTCTTTTTCATCTCTTGCTCTTTTTTTATTTTTGGTTTAATGAATTCCATTTGCCGGAGGTAAAAGAGAGTAAAAATATTACAGGAGAAAAAACATGAGACCATACGTTTGTTTCTTGCTTCTGTTTCTTGCCCATAGAGGTTCTTTTGTGATTTGCAGTTCTTTCCCTACTAATGAAGGTAATCATCTTTTTTATTCTTTTTCAGATCTTGATTGGTTTCTGGGAAAATGTGGGTGGGGATAAGGGATTTTAACTGTTAATTTTGTGTTTCATAGTGTTTTAGTTAAGTTGCTTTAGATTTATGCTCTTATTTCAAGGATACTCATAATTCTAGTTTCAGTATTTCTCACTGAGCTTGGAACCCTTCATTTCTTTTGTTTAAAGTTTGGGCTCTTACAACATTTAAGGAGGCTATATATGAAGACCCACATTTGGTTTTTTCAAACTGGAATGCTCTAGATGCTGATCCATGTAACTGGTTTGGGATTACATGTGATCGGGAGAGACAACATGTTACTAAGATGTAAGTATGATATACCAACTTTTCCAAGTTCTTTAATTAGTTTTCATCCATTTAAAAATGGTGGATATCTGCTCAAATTGATGCATTTTTTTCATGCTAGTCATGTCTCTCCATGTGTTGCAGAAACATATCCGGTTCATCTTTGAAGGGATTTCTTGCACCTGAGATGGGTCAAATGACATACTTGCAAGAACTGTATGTTTTCTTAGGCTTATTTGTTCAAAATGATGCTTTTGGTTCAACTTCTATCCTTAGAATTGGTGCATGGTTTCACGTGTTTTGTAGAACTTTACATGACAACAATCTGATTGGAACAATTCCTAAAGAACTTGGCTTTTTGAAGTCTCTTGAAGTGTTGGATTTGGGGATGAATCAACTGACTGGTCCTATTCCTCCAGACCTAGGGAATTTGTCCAGTGTGACTAAGATGTAAGGAAAACTTAATTTGTTCTGTTTAAAGGCAGTGGTTATTCTTTTTCCTTTTTTGTTACTTGTGCATCTTTCATATTTTGGTTTCATTTTTTTTCACAGAAACCTTCAGTCAAATCGGTTGACAGGCAGCTTGCCTGCTGAGCTTGGGAATTTAAAAAATCTTCAGGAACTCCGCCTTGATCGAAATAAACTTCAAGGAACTGTTCCTGCTGCTAGCAATGCAACATTTACCTCTAAGATGCACGGAATGTAAGTAGAATATGAACATGGAATTATGTTCTATGAAGCTCTGAAGAACAAGTTTATTTGATACACAGCTTCTTACGAAATATGCCCCTTATACCTTCTTAATGCACACTTCTGTTTTCTAAAATCTAAACATGCACCTCTTGTAGAAACCAATGCTATATTTGTAAGTTTTAATTGATTGTATCATTGTAAATTTGGTTTGAATGATGTGTTTAACGATAATGATTGAAAAGGGGTAGTAAAAACAAGCTGGTGGTAGTTGCAACTTGGAATAGCATTATAATAGGCTGTGTTTGCAAAATGCATGTCAATTGAGATGCAGTGGCTGAATGACCATTAAATAGGATGCTATTTGTGCTATCAAGAATTCACTGTCAGATATGGAAAATTCTTATTTCACCTACTGAAGAGGACGAATAACTTTTTCACCTTAAAACTGGTGTTTTTAGTTTGGAGTTGAAAGATCTTGGTATGGGATCATAGAAGCTGAAAACATTGCAGGCTTCTTATCTAGAAATTTAGCCACTGAATTTTGATCAGGTTAGCATATTCGAGTTGATCTATAGTATTTCTTTTCACTACAGGTATGCCTCTCGTTCAAACTTAACTGGACTTTGTCGCTCATCTCAATTAAAAGTGGTAGATGTCTCCTATAATTATTTGGTTGGAAGCATACCTAAGTGTTTGACAGACTTTCCAAGGTAAACTTTCTTTGCTGATGTCATAGGCCAGTTTTGGTTTCTCTTTTATCCAGTTGGTTCATGTTATCCCGTATGATTAATGCAGTGCAAGCTTTCAAGAGAACTGTCTTCAGGACAAAAATGTTAAACAGCGTCCGAACACACAATGCGGTATGTATTACGTAATTTTCTTACCTCTGGCAGTGGCATCCATGATACTTAAACAAAAACATGTGTTTTTGGCCAAGTTCAACAGACTATTGTTGACATCTTGATCTTGAAAATTCATACATCTTTTTTTTTAGTACACTTAGCTATGTAAGTTGATGATCTTTTAACTATTAAAATATTTTAGTATTGACAACGAAATGGTTGACGATGGCAATGTTCCTTATTTAGGTGCTCTCTCATCTAAAAGTCACCAAGCACCAAAAAGTAAGCATCAGCCTGATGAAGACGTTTCAAAGCATCCGAAAGCATCAAAACCTGCCTGGATCTTAGGTCTTGAAATAGTGACGGGAATCATGGTGGGATCCATCTTTCTTGTTGCCCTCCTTACTGCTCTCCATAAGTGCAATAGCAAGACTGCAATAATAATCCCTTGGAAGAAACCAGGGAGTGAGAAAGAACATTTGGCAGTGTACATAGGTTAGTTTGCCACTTATGGCATACGGCATTATCTACTGCTCCTCAAGTTAACTTCAGTAGTGTATTCTTCAAAGCAATACTGATTAAGATTGCGATTCTTTTCACAGATTCTGAGTTGTTGAAAGATGTGACTAAATATAGCAGACAAGAGCTTGAAGTAGCTTGTGAAGACTTCAGCAACATTATCGGTTCCTCTCCTGACAGTTTGGTCTATAAAGGCATCATCAGGGGTGGACCTGAAATTGCTGTGATAGCCCTCTGCATCAAAGAGGAACAGTGGACAGGCTATCTTGAGCTATATTTCCAGAGAGAGGTACTTGTTATTACCTTGATAGCTTCAAAGAAAAACTGATTTGTTGAAACATGCGAAGCAGCTCTAAAATCTAAGAATTAGCAAAACCTGCAGTAATCTGGTTCCGCTTTTTTGGTTTGAATTGCTTTTTAGGTGGCAGATTTGGCAAGATTGAATCACGATAATGTAGGGAAACTACTAGGATACTGTAGTGAGATCACTCCATTTACAAGGATGCTTGTTTTCGAATATACATCGAATGGGACGCTTCATGAGCATTTGCATTGTAAGCATTCTCCCTCTCTACATATAAGCGTAACCTTTTTATATATCAGCATTACCCAAGTACTCTATTTAAATGCAGATGGAGAAGGATCCCAACTATCTTGGACAAGGAGAATGAGAATAATTCTCGGCATTATTCGAGGACTCAAGTATCTTCATACAGAACTTGAGCCACCATTCACTATATCAGAGTTAAACTCTAGTGCTGTGTATCTTACAGATGATTTTTCCCCCAAGGTATCTCCTTATCTGAAACAAAGTGTTCCGCTGTGTGGTAAAATTAAAATGATCAGTCCTGATATCTGGACTTGAGATATTTTGGTCAAGTGGCTGCAATTGTGAAACTGAGCTGGGATCCTTCTGATTAAGAAATTATCTGGTGATGCAGTTGGTTGATTTTGAAAGTTGGAAGACTATTCTTGCTAGATTGGAAAAGAACTCTGGTTCCATAGGCAACAATGGAGCCATTTGTCTACTTCCTAGTTCTGTGGAGAACCGTCATCTGGATATCCAGGGAAATATTCATGGTTTTGGCATACTTCTACTGGAGATAATCAGTGGGAGGCCTCCATTCTGCAAGGACAGAGGATGCTTGATAGATTGGGTAAGCAATCTTCCTGAACCACCCTTCTTTTTTAAGGAAATCCTATGTTATTCGAGCTTGGGTGTTAGTGTTGAATACGGGTATATTACCTCCATACCCTTGTTGACGTCGGACACTTCGACAAAAATAAAGAGCCAGAATAACATAGAACCTTGTGTTGTAATCTTTACCTACAAACAGCTTTTAGGTCTGATATGCTCCTTAACACAAGTTCCTTCCATGCATCAACAGGCCAAGGAATATCTTGAATCACCAGATGCAATGTCTAATATTGTGGACCCTGAGCTGAAACATTTCACATATGATGACCTCAAGCTCATCTGTGAAGTCATAAGCCTTTGCATTCATCCAGACATTTCAAAACGCCCTTCCATGCAGGAAATAAGCCTCATTCTCGAGAGCAGAATCGACACGTCAGTATCAGTTGAGCTCAAGTCCTCTTCTTTGGCATGGGCTGAACATGCTCTTTCATCATGATTTAGTAGAATCCTATAACCACACTGTTAGATCAAACACATCATACAGTTTTACCCTTCACTCTTTAATCTTTGCACAAAGCTGTGTGCCAGAAGAAACATTTGGCATGGTCTAACTACTGAAAAGGTCCCGCTTTCGTCGTATACCATTGGATGTTTTCAGAAAATTTTTCTTCTGAAAATCACAATATAGCTGATTTAGTTCTTTGTGTAATCAGTCTCACTGTATGTGCAAATTAAGCTCATGTCTCGGCTTCTACAACGAAATTGTTGCACCTGTTGTCTGTTTTCCTACATAATTTTGAGTGCAAGCTTGTTGTAATCTTGAGAAAATTACTTTACCAAGTAGTACACTTACAGAACAAAGCATTCATTTCCAAGTTCATAATTGCCCAGGGTACGGACTATTACTAGAATCGTTTTAGGAGATGGTTGAAAAGTTGAAAATAAAAAAACTCTCACGAATGTTACTACATAACCAATATCAAAAAGGAATTCTGAACTCAGGTATAATTTGATCCTTTTATTTTTTTTTTTAACTTATTTGTCTATTCAAATCGATAATATCGTTGGTTGTTATTAAAGTAGTGATATGCAATTTTATTTTTAAGATAACCATAGGCATTCAGTTGAACTATAAGTTTATTATAGATCGAATATGTTTTTTGATTAATTGATCGAATATGTGTCTTTATTGTATTACCAGATGACGATATCGAATTCCACATCATCACTTTAACAACAGCTAACAATATCATCAGTTTGAACCTAATAATGATATTATGAGAGTAGAGGCACTCAGTTATGCCAAATTAAAGAGTTCAAACCTTTAATTTCAGCACAGTACAAGGGCTAAAACTGTTATTGTACAAAACTTTAATTACAGCATAATACAGGGGCTAAAACTGCCATTAAACAAACATGTGACAGCAGTGAGTTGATTAGTGAAAAGGTAAACAACATAAGAGAGAATAGGTAGAAAGAAAGGAAAACATTGTTTGAAGATGAGAGCGTTCAAACGGATGTAAAATTTTATATTAGGAGGTGAAAATATATTTTTCATAGAAAATACATAAAAAATCTAAAATATATAGTAATTTAAAATTTTCAGGGAACGATTGTCCTCACCTCTCTGTCCATGCATCAATGGCGGATTGAATTATAAGGAAGAGGATTTTTGAAGAAAACTGGGAGTAGATAAAAGCAAACCATTGAAATATATGGAATGATCCCAAAAGATGAATGGGTGGGTATATAGTTTGCTTAGCTTCCAAGCCATGCAAAGAATAAGGCTCCCTCCCTCCAGGTTGTGAACATCTTCACTTATCAGCTTTACTATAACTACTCCTATACCCATATTTAAATATATGTGGGATATTGAATACAAATATTCCATATATATATATATATATATATATATATATATTAAATACTAAATCTTAAACTTAAAACTTGAAATCTAAATTTTAAACCCTAAATTCTAAATCATGAACTTTAAACTCTAAACCTTAAAAATTATAGTTATAACTAGTAACAGATCCATAAATGTTTTTGAGGATGAGTATCTTGTAGACATACATTAATAATGTAAAATTTTCGAATAGAATTAACATAAATAAAATTTCAAGATGACACTATTAATAAAATAAAAAATTAACCGAAAAAAATTGAATTATAAGGTGGGCACGGTTCACCCTGAAATAAAGATTGATCCGTCACTGATTATAACAATTGAAGTGGTTGAGAGAATGAAATTCAAGTTTAAGACACAAAAATAAATAAATAAAATGTTGGGAGTTTGCCTTCAAATGCCTTATAGAAATTGTAGCCGCACAAGAAAATAGCTTCATTTACACAATAACTTTGCAGCATGTGCTCTGCTGCTCTTTCCTTCATGTCATTGCAGTTTGCAGGCATCAACACCTAAAATGGGACTCAAAGCTCTACTGCCATAAACAAAAGTTGGACACTTTTGATCAATATTATTTACTTTATTTTGGATTTTCATAAAAATCTAGAGGATCCAACTAAAATTATTATTCTTGTGGGAATTAAAGTGAAATTTTAATCCGCTTTTAATTTTATAATTTTTAAAATGATTAAATTAGAACTCATTAAGTAAATTTAGTGGTAAAAGAAAATGTTATTCTCTTTAAAGATCATGAGTTTGAGTTGTGAGAATTACACTAAATCATATTACTTTTTTTCAATAGTTTGACTTGATTACAAGATAATATATGTTCAAAAAAAAATTAACTATTGACAACACGCACCATGTAGATTTTTACTTTCTATATATTTTATATTTTTTTCGTATTTTTAATTTAAAATATATTTTCATCCCCTAAAATTTTATAATTTCGCTCTCCCTAATATAAAATCTTACACTCATCTCAGCTAAAGATGCATATATTCAAACTCAAAACCTTAAAAAAACTATTTTTTGCATATTATTTGAACATTAAGATTATTTAATATGAGATTCGATAAATCATGTTACTAAAAGTAAAATCCACAAAAATGTTGACTCTAGGGTCCATTTAGAGATTATCCGGTAAGGCCAACGCCAAACTCATGATCTGATTACCAACCAAACGAAGCCACGTAACCAACTGCAGTAGTTTACTCACCAACAGTCTAGCAAATCCCATTTTCAAAAAATTAAATTTCCCACTAAAAGCGAAACGTCCGTTACTAACCCATCCTAATCTGCCGTCAACTAACGACGGAAACCTTTAACTCCCCTATAAAAAAGGAAACCACCCTCAAATTCTCAAGTCCCCCATTTCTAAACCAAGTTTTCCTTCTCCAAGCCTCTGTCACTTCACCGAGAAAATGAGAGAAATCCTCCATATCCAAGGTGGTCAATGCGGCAACCAGATAGGGGCGAAGTTCTGGGAGGTCGTCTGCGCCGAACATGGCATCGACTCAACGGGTCGATACGGCGGCGAGTCGGAGCTCCAGCTTGAGCGAATCAACGTCTACTACAACGAAGCCAGTTGCGGCCGTTTTGTTCCCCGCGCAGTCTTAATGGATCTGGAACCCGGTACCATGGATAGCGTTAGATCCGGTCCGTACGGACAAATTTTCCGACCCGACAACTTCGTCTTCGGACAGTCAGGTGCCGGAAACAACTGGGCTAAGGGACATTATACGGAAGGAGCGGAGCTTATCGATTCTGTTCTTGACGTCGTTAGAAAGGAAGCCGAGAATTGTGATTGCTTGCAAGGTTGTCATTTGCATTTTTAAAAAAATGAAGATTTCTTTAGTTGTTGGGTGTTAACTATGACCAATCTTGAACTCGATCTGTTTGGTTACAGGATTTCAGGTATGCCATTCCTTGGGAGGAGGAACGGGTTCCGGGATGGGAACTCTGTTGATATCCAAGATAAGGGAGGAGTATCCGGACCGAATGATGCTTACATTTTCGGTTTTTCCGTCTCCTAAGGTTTCGGATACTGTTGTGGAGCCTTACAATGCAACGCTCTCAGTTCATCAGCTTGTGGAAAACGCGGATGAGTGTATGGTTCTGGATAATGAAGCTCTGTATGATATCTGCTTCCGCACCCTCAAGCTCACTACTCCAAGTTGTAAGTATTTTTGCTTTTTTTTGCTAATGAAATTAGCATTTTTTTTGGTTTTCAAACTATTAGCTTTGAGTATGTTTGGTAAGAAATGAGATGGAAACCACACAATGGATCCTTACAATTTACTTTGTTTTAAGGCATTTGATGTAGTATTGTTTTGGCAACCACCTAGTATTACAAGAAATTAGGTAGCTCGGGAGTGCTTTTGGTATTGGATTTACCTGATAATTCATTTTGTTTTGATGAATCCTATATTGTCCATTCTAGAATTACTGTTTTATTTGCGTTAATTTTCCAACCAAAACAAGGAGTAAATGAATTTTTAGCAATGGGGTGTTAATGTTCGCTGCTGTATAAGGCTTGTTGCATCCTTTTGTTTGGATATAAGATCCAGTTTGTGTACTGATGGCGAGGTTGAACAAGAATAGTAGGAGTTATGTGGACCTTAGATTCTCTTCTCTGCCGCTGCATAATTTTATGAAAGGAGTTGGGGTTCGGGTGGCTCTCACTGTCTATAGCATTTTACCTAAGGAAGAAATCAAGTTAAGAATTGGTTGCATTTTGGGAATGCCTAGGCGAGTTCTTAATTATATAATCCGTAAAAGGCTTATAAGTTAGATATCCTAATAATAGTAGGGTTGCGAATGGTTTGTTGTGATAATTTTATGATAATTTTTTCATTGATGCTATCATTTTGGTGAGTTGCTCCGTTCCTAATCCTGTTTCATTGATGCAAATCCATTTGTGCTAATAATAGTGTCAATTTGGAATCTAACTTGCAATGTTTGATGTTCAGTTGGAGACCTCAACCATCTAATTTCTGCCACCATGAGTGGTGTAACATGTTGCCTTCGCTTCCCTGGTCAACTTAACTCAGATCTCCGCAAACTTGCCGTAAACCTTATTCCGTTCCCAAGGCTGCATTTCTTCATGGTTGGATTCGCACCTCTCACCTCTCGTGGTTCCCAGCAGTACAGGGCCCTCACTGTCCCTGAACTTACTCAGCAAATGTGGGATGCCAAGAACATGATGTGTGCAGCTGATCCTCGACATGGTCGATACCTCACAGCATCAGCTGTCTTCCGTGGCAAGATGAGCACAAAAGAGGTCGATGAACAGATGATCAATGTTCAAAACAAGAATTCATCATACTTTGTTGAATGGATTCCAAACAACGTGAAGTCCACTGTTTGTGACATCCCTCCTATCGGCCTGAAGATGGCATCCACATTTATAGGGAACTCTACATCAATCCAAGAGATGTTCAGAAGGGTGAGTGAGCAATTCACTGCCATGTTCCGTAGGAAGGCTTTCTTGCACTGGTATACCGGAGAGGGAATGGACGAGATGGAGTTCACGGAAGCTGAGAGCAACATGAATGACTTGGTTTCCGAGTACCAGCAATACCAGGATGCAACAGCAGGTGACGAAGAGTACGAGGAAGAGGATGAATATGAGGAAGAGGCTTAAAACCGGGTGGAATATGCTTACCTTTTGTTCATATAGCCTGAAGGCTATTTGGATGTTTTTGTTGTGCTTTGGACTGGAACATTGTTGTGCATTGTGGAGTGTGTGTTGATGCAGTTTCTCACTGCCTGTTTTTGCTTCTTTGGATAATTGTGTTGTTAATTCTGTTGACCATTTTGCTTTTTGGGCGTCTCCACAATTTACAGAGTCAGCTTCAATAGAAAGATTGTAGGTAGCACACTTTCAATGATGATCCGTTTAATTTTTTTCCACTTAAAATGAAAGAAACTTTAAATGTATATTTTTTTAAATAAATTTGAGAAAATATAAATTAGTATTTTTTAAATTTGAAACTTCAATATACTTGAGATCATTTGACAATGAAATCTCATGTCCCTATATCCACAATGTTTAAATTCGAGGCTTAAATAAATAATAATAATCGTTTAACAATTGATATCACTTGATTTGTGGTTTAAAATATACTTGAATTCCAATTAAGATTACAAAGTTCAAATGCAAGTGAAGGTTGATAAAATAGCAAGTTGATGTTCACAGACGAAGTTCATTTGGACCACAGTTTTACCGATTTGTGCCAAGTATTGTGGCAATGTCCCACTATAACAATAAGACAATAGATATAATATATATTGATGCAATATTTAGACTAGATTTAATTCCTAATTTCAAAATATTTAAGTTGAAAAAAATATGTACTTAAGAATATTTATTTATTTTAATATTTTATTAGAATATATATAAATAGATAAAAGTTTAATTGAAAAATAAATGTCTAAATTATACTTCTTATTTATCAAGTGTTTGTGATTTTCTTTTTTATCAAAATAGATTTCTAAAGTTTATTCTTTTATCATTTAAGGTGTTTGGCAGTTAATGATGTTAATAAAAGGTTATTTCATCAGTGTTTTTGGCACATAGATGTTTTTATTTTATTATCTTTTAAGCTTTTTAAAAAACTAAAATAATTATTTTTTAGGATAAACTATTCGTTTGACTACTTAATTATTGTCATTTTTTATTTTGACCACTGATTTTGAAATTTTGTCAATAAGGTCACTTAACTAATTAAGTATGTCAATCAAGTTACTTGTCGTTAATATTTAACGGAAGTAGTGACATGCTGTTAAAAAATTATACAATTATACATTTAATCCCTAATATTTATACATCATATCAATTTAGTCTTAATTTTAATTTAATTCAATAAATTTAAGAAAACAATATGCAGAAACTAGCATTGAATGGGAAATCTTTAGGCATGTCTAAACCATTGGGTCAAGCAGCGCATTTAGCAATGATTTACAACATTTTTTATATAACGAATTATATAACTAATAGCAGAAAAAAAAGTAAAATACTGTTATCCCTTTAAATGAACAAAAATCTAAAGTCTAATATAAAAAATTAATAAATTATACCTCTTTTTTATTTAAGTCTTTTGAATTTTTTCGATCAATTTAGATGTCTAACGTTATTAATAATATTATTATTTATGTATCTCAACCGTAATAAACATTACAAAATTTCTGTTAATCCTTCAAAACATGACACGTGACACGTTTCTATATTTTTTAAATTTTCTTTTAAAATAAAAATAAAATTATATATTTTTAAATCTCAAAATTTCTCTAAAATTACAAATAAAAAACCTTAAATCCTAAACCCAAATCTTTAAAATCCTTAATTTCAATCCTTTTATTATAGTCGGCCACCGTTAACGCTGTCGATTGGCCAAAATCTTAATGTCACCGACCGACCGAAACCTCAACACCACCAACCGACCGGAACTCCAACACCATCAATCGATCAAAACCCCATATTTTTATCACCAACGTTGCACACGATAGGAGAAAGGGACAATCAATTTCTGCAACCTCACGCCGCTGCTTCATTTGCAGACCACAACCCACCACCATGTAGATCACTTTGAATAGTAGCCTTCGACGATAAAAGGGGTGGGTGGAGAAGAATAGGGCTAGGGATTTATATTGAGAACATCGGGGATGGTCGACAATGGATGTGTGGGTGATCAACATCGACGACAATAATCGGCGTGGATAGAAAGATTTGAAATTAAGGTTTCTAATTTTTTAAAATTAAGATTTAAGAAAATATTAAGTTTTTTTCTAAAAAAAATATAATTTTAAGTTTTCAAATTTAAATGAAATTTTATAAATACAACACGTGTCACTTGATAAATTTCTAGTGACTGTTATGGTATAATCACCTAAATGATAATATTGATAACATTAAATATTTAAATTAATAAAAATATTTAAACACAGAAAAAGATATAATTCGGAGAATTGTTTTTTATATTAAACCAAAGTCTAATAATTACGAGAGTATTCAACAGGCAGCCAGTCCAGAACAAGGGCCATATGGACGGAGCCTAATAAAGCCCACAAAACCCACCATGTCCATTTCAGAAAACAAATACCTCGATTTCCCACTCAGATTTTCACATCATCAACTCTACTTTGCACTGTGTCTTTAGCTACCATCCTGAAATAAATGGTTTCTTCCATCTTCTAACAGTTGCCATTAAGATCTCATTATAAAAATACAAATCTGATCTTATGAAATACAAATGTTGTGTATATTCCAAAACCAGACAAAAGAACCTGACCCCTAAGATGGGACATATAGCATATACAGGCATTATTTTCAATTCAGTTTGTCTGAAATAGGTTGGTTGATGAAGTTAAACGGGTGTTGTATTAAAGAAAACTATTATTACAGAATGGTTAAATGATCGTCTGAAATAATTTAAAATAAGTATTACATGTATGCTTTAATAATCAACTTAACAAAACAGAGTTGATTTAAGCAACCTGAACAAATGTCCAAAGCTGTGAGTGCTGTAATTTAAGCTCCAAATTTGGGAACTTTAGCGGCAGACTCTTGAGCCAAGAAATGCTCTGCCACAATCCTCCGCTGGATTTTGCCGGTTGCCGTCTTTGGCAGAAAATCAGTGACGAAAACCTTTTTGGGCACCTTGAAACTCGCTACATTCTTCTTGCAATATTCCCTGATATCTGCCTCTTCCAGCCTTACTCCTTCCCTTGGAATCACCGCACAATTTATCTAACATGAACACGTACATACACACGTTCAGACGATGAACAAATCAAAACCCGAATGTAGTTGAAGGAAGTGTTGTTTAATTTACAAGTTCTAAATTCAAATGGTTGTATCTATGGGTTTGTTATCCATTACTAAAAAAAATTCGAAACAAATACTACATTATAATCATATTAGACTATTAAAAAAAATCAAAATCATGAATTACATATCATGTATGAATGCTTTTCTTACCTCTTCACCGTATTTCTCATCGGGCACTCCAAAGGCAACTGCCTGTGCTACATTGGGGTGACCCAATAGCACTGCGTCTACCTCAATCGGTGAAATTTTCTCACCTCCACGGTTGATGAGCTCCTTGATCCGACCAACAAGGTGCAGGTATCCATCCGAATCTAAATACCCGATATCCCCGGTATGGAACCAACCGAATTGGAATGCTGATTTATTTGCCTCGGGGTTGTTCTTGTATCCTTTTGTCACGTTCAATCCCCTAATGCAAACTTCTCCATTGGAATTAGGCGGCTGAACCTCCCCTTGTTCATTCAGAATCGCCATTTCTTGACCCACAGGCTTCCCGACCGACCCGGGCTTATGTGGGCCACTGGTCGGTAAGGGGTTCGAAGCCATGAGATGGGAAGCCTCGGTCATGGCGTAAGCCTCGAGTACGGGTGCGCCGAATGCCGCCTCTAACCGTTCCAAGATACTCGGCGCTAAAGATGCGCTGCAGCTCCTGATGAACCTTAACTTTGGGTACTCCGCCTCAGGCTTGCTCTCGTGGCGGTCAAGTATGATCTGGTGTATCGTGGGGACGGCAGTGTACCATGTTGCATTGTATTTAATCATGTCCGTCCAAAATGTCGATGCTGAAAATCTCCCTGCGGCTGGTAGGGTGACGGCGGCTCCGGAAACGAGGGAACTCAGTAAGCCAGCTAGCAAACCGTGTACGTGGAACAACGGGAGCACAATGACGGTGGAGTCTGACTCGGTGAGTTCATAGACCGATTTGATGTTCAAAACCGATGTCCCCAGATTGAGCTGAGTCAAGGGGACACCCTTGGGACGACTGGTGGTTCCGGAAGTGTGGAGGAAAAGAGCCACGTCAGAAGAGTCGTTTACGAGTTGATGGACCAAATCAAGATTTGAGTCGGGGTTGGAGGAGAGAGTGATTATGGAATTTTCATCGTGGAGGGTGGCGGATACGAGAGGGATGTTCAACTTGGAAGCCGCGGCTTCAGCCGGCTTGATGCCTTCGGCTGGGATTAATAAAAGCTTGGATTCTGAATCGGAAAGGTAGAACTCGAACTCCTCAGCCGTGTAAGCTGGGTTTAACGGCGCGGCTGTTGCTCGGCAGCGGATTACAGCCAAGAACATTATCACAAGCTATAAAAAAGACAAAAAATAAAAAACCAAATTATTATTATTATTTCATTAATTATACAAGAATTAAATAAGGAAAAAAAAAGCTTCACCACAAACGCAAAAAGAAAATTTACAAAAAAAAAAAAAACTTTTAAATCTAAAAGACAATGACATTATATAAGCGTTTGCTTTGTTTTATTACAAAAGAAGAAACCGAGGGGAAATAAGACAAACAGCTTAATACGTAGAATAATTAAAAAAACAATTTTAAAATATCAATATTTATGAGAGAAAAATTACTATGATTTTTTATGGTTTTCTTTCTCTGTATTTTCTCATAGACCAAACAGAATCTGATTCGAATGATTCAATCAAAGTTTCAATGAATTGAAACGTAAAAGGAAAAAAAGTAAAAATACCTCGACAGTGTTTGGGAAAGTAAGAGCAACGACATCGCCGGGGAGGATGCCGGAGGCGATGAGGAGAGAGGCGGCGTGATCGATGAGGTGTTGTAATTGAGCATGCGTTAAATCGAATTTACCGGAAAGAGACAAGGCTCTCCGGTTTGGGAAGTCCGCCGCAGCCTTGTTCAGTAATCCCGTCAAAGTTACAGTTTCCATCGGAGAAACCAAACAAAGGAAACGAAGATATTGATTCTGTTTCAAGAAAAAGAAGAAAGATTATAGAGGGTTGGAGACTTACAAAGGTGAGGGGGATTATAAGGAGTTGGAGAAAGAGAGGGGAAGGGGAGGTTGAGAGCAGGGGAGGTGGGATTTGCCACTTGTCGAAGGTTGACGAGTCAGATTACGTGTGCCCTTGTGTGTGTTTTTGAGAGGTGCCCCCCCTTTTTAGTCTTGTTCCTATTCCCTTCCCTTTTTATTTTTGTTCCTCAGTCTTACGTGGAACTAGCAAGGACAATAAGATATCATACATTACGCACATACACAATGCTTTTCACCTATATACATGTACGTGAAATTTTATATTATAAATTAATTTTTAAAATTTTAGAGTCTTGAATACATATATTTGATCGATTGATTAAATCTTTATCTTTTTTATGTTCGCTTAAATTATAAATTTTAGATCAATTAGTAACATTCACCTTCCTCCTCCTAAAATTTCAGTTTCTTTGGATAGGATTAAGATTAAAATTAAAATTTGTCAAAAAAATTGTAGAGTTCTACTAAAGCAAAGATATATTGTTAAGGGTAAATTACAAATTTACTCATTGAATTATACGTTCTCCAATTTCACTCGATCTATTTTAAAAGTTTTTAATTTAATAACTGAACTTTATACAATAATTTTTTTATCACTCCAACTTTAATTTTATAACGGCGATATAACATGACTTATTTTAATATTAAAACCCAGTCATATAAGATTTATATTTAATAAAATAAAAACTAATTTTTAATTTACAAAATTATTGATTGAAATTTACACCCAAAATCTTATATCAAACCCTACCCAAAAAATGCTACAAATTAATCTACGACCATGAAAGCTTACAAGCAGCTCCAATGAAGATCACCAAAACTTCATTTGCAAGGGCTCTAACCCAAACTCGCGCCCAAGTTCCTTCCTTTGTTTTTCATTTGGGCGCAGACAAAAGCAAATATTTATAGGAATGTTTAACGAAACAAGAAGTGGAGCTGCAGTGAAACAAGAGAGAATGTTACAAATTCAATAACATTTCAAATTTCACTTATCATCGACAAGTATCTCTTGTCGGAGTTATAACTACGACCATCATATTTCAGAATCCCAAAAGCCCCGAGCAATCTTGTTTATATATATATATAGTAGCTTGTCTTCTTTCAATCCTTTAGATTCTACAGTAGAGAAAAATAGAGGAACTGAGGAGAAATGAGAGGATGAGGAAAAATAATAAAGAAGGAAACGAAGGGAAAAATGAAATATATAATTTTTTATTTAGATTAAAATGGAGTCGATTTGATCAAATTATAATTTTTTAGATATTCGAAATTACGTCATTTTGATATAAGTTTTCACGTTATAATGCCGTTAATTATTTAACGATAGAATAAAAAAATCAATATATAAAAATTTAGTGAGTTAATTATCGTATTATTTAACTAAAATATTGGGTAATTTTCTAACATAGGACTTTCTTCTTATAGTACATGATCTGTACAGTATTTTTACCTAATATATTATATAAAATAATGCTTTATATTATATTGATCTAAAAACCCAATTAATCGTCATTATATAAACCCAATTGATATAAAATCTCACAAAAGTCCCAAAACCCTTAATCCCAAAGCATCCACCTCACCTGTCGACCGTCCATCGTCGTTGCCGCCTCCATCGACGGCCTACCCACCCACTAGGGATGGCAAACGGGCGGGTCGGGTGCGGATACCCCCTCCCCCATCCCCATACCCACCTAATATTTTTCAATCCACCACCCGCCCACCACCCATGATGGGTACAAATTTTCAAATCCACACCCACCCACGCGGGTACATTTTCAAATACATCCCCACACCCACTACCCACTAGCGACATACACATCTAGACCCGCCTGACAGCAAACTAATAGGATGTTGGAGTTGGTTCCCAGACAGTTCGTGATGGGGTAGCAGCGCATGCTTCAATTTGTCAGAGTAGCTCTACGAATGTTATGAAGATAGATTGTAGGGAGCATGTAGTCGCAGAGCTGGATTGTTGTGTTGCTTTCGATGTTAATGCTCATAGTGCGCCTAATATGGGTTTTGAGGGGCTAAAGAACATGGAAACTGCTGCTTTTGATGTTAATGCTTATAGTACGACTAATTTGTGTTTGGATAGGCATCATGGGCTAAAGAACATGGAAAGTGACGTGGTTAGTGGGATTATGGGTTTAATCAAATAGCTGAATATTTCCCTAATTAAAGATCAGATTAAAGACTAAATATCCTTAATATTTGGATAAATTATATGTTATATATTATACAATATTAAAATTTATAAATTAGTCTCTAAAATTACATCTAAATTCATATGGTCCAAAATTTAATAGATATTTAGCTGGGTGGGCGGATGTGGGGTGGGCGGATGCGGGGCGGATACGGGGCGGGTAATGTCTCAAACCCATTACCCGCCCACCACCCACGACGGGTGCCATTTTATAAATCCACACCCGCCCACTACTTGCTAAAATTATACCCATCCCCGCTCCAATTGGAGCGGATGCGATGCGGAATCCACGAAACTGTACCCGTTTGCCATCCCTACCACCCACCAGTCGTAGTCAATCGTGACTTCAAACCCTAAAATCTCTAAACCCTGAATCCCTAAATTCCAACAACCATCCATCCCAGTCGTGGATGGGTGATCGGCGTGCTGGTGGCTGGCGAGTAAACTGATGATCACCGATGGTGGTGGTGGTTGGAGCCAGAATTGAAAGTCTTGGAACATTTTATGAATAATAGGAAAATTTTGGGTTTTTTTTAAAAATTTATGAATTTATTTTTTTTAAAAAAATGAACAAAATAAAAAATCAAGTCACATGTCAAATATTGATATGCGAAGTCATTTTTAACGGATCTTTTTACAGCAGTTACTGCATAGGCACCAAAATAATAACTAGGGACGGAGGTCCCTTAGGGCCTAAGCGGCCCCCGACCCCTGTTAAATTTTATATATCCGTATAATTTTAGTTTAATAGTATTTCGGTTCATGTAAAAATAAATATTTAAATTTAAAAAATATAAAAAAATTATTAAATATTTAATCAAATAAGAGTCAAATTAAAGAATGATAAGTATGTGTTCTCAAATTTTTGATCTATTTACAATTTAAGTCATTGAAAGTTTAAATATTAGACAAATTAAAAGTTGTCTTTTGAGTTTTGATTTTTAATTTAGGGCGAATACAAGATAATATATGTACAAACACTTTTAACTATTTGACAATGAACGCTTATACCCCTACATACGTGCTTGAACTCGGGACCTCAAGGATAACAACAATCTCTTAATCACTAAGGTCGCTTGATGCATACTGAATTTCGAGTTTAAATACCTAATAAGTCTTTATATTTTTCTTAAATAGTCTAATATCTCGACCTCTGCCAATATTTAATTCTGACACCGTCCCTGATAATAGCATTAGAAACGTTACACACTTAAATTGACAAAAAAAGATTTAGGTACCTAAACGATAAAATATAGGTATAGTTTAAGAAATTATTTTTATATTAAGTCTCTTACAATTGATGGTCAACTTTTTTTACATCTTAATAAAGCATTTAAAGTTTTAAAAATGAATAACGTAATCATATGATATTAATTAATTAAAACAAAAAAATGGAAAAGGAAAGCAAAATAAGACCCTACGTGTAATCTCCATATATAAATAGAGAACATTAAAACAATAGTTAATATATAAAGCATAATTAGCTGGATTACCTTTCTTCCACGCCCATAAAATTGTCATTTGCTGCTTAAATTCCTTTTTGCATTATTCATTTCCCATAAAATTAAATGCATTATTCTCGGAACCTAATTAAGTTACTTAATTAATACAATTGATAAAGCAAATTTTATGGCGTGCCAGCTCCCAAATCAATTTCCTTCGATGGAATATTTTAACCTAACGGAAGTGGGCCTACACACATAATGTAAAGAACAACATCGTCATTTTAATTTTGATTAATATTATATTTAAAATTGTTTTCTTATAAAATAATTTTGTGAGGTGTCGAATGTTTACAGTTTACTTTTTCTTTTATAAATGAAAGTAGTTGTAAGGTTCTGTTTAGAGTCGTCTCTTTTGCAAAGATTCTGTTAAAGGATTATTGAATGGTAAAATACATAAATAGTCCACCGGCTCTAGGGTATTATTGAGTTGTTCGACTATTAAAAGTTATAAAATGGTTCTTAATTATATGATATTATTTTGTTGAATTCTCTTACTATTAAAAGTTATAAAATGATCCCTTAAGTATTCGTATGTTTCGAATTCGTCATTTTCTATTAAAAATTGATGATAATCTAAGTTGGACATTAACCTGTTGACTGTGATATGATATTTGTTTGAAATTTTGAGATCAAGTTTTGTCATATTACAATCAGTAGATTAAATTCCAACTTAGACTGTGGTTAATTTTTTAACAGAAAATGACGAGTTTGAAAGATATGAATACTCAGGGTACCATTTGTAGTTTTTAGTAGTCAGGGGACTCAACAAAGCAATGTACTGTAGTTAAAGGACAATTTTGTAACTATTAATAGTAAGGGATTCAACAAAGCAATGTGCTATTGTTGAGGGACTATTTTATAACTTCTAGTAGTTAGATAACTCAACAAATCAACATCCTATAGTGGGAGGATCATTTGTGTACTTTACCCTATTTCCATAGTTTAGTTCTTTTTGCGCGAATTATATTAAGTTACTCGTACGTGTTTTTAGCCAACTGTACACTAGTTTTGGGAATGTAAAATAATTTATAGGAAAACCAATTCATGAAGGTCAAGCCGGCCTTTTCTTTGTCGGTTTTGCTTGAATAGAAGTGTAGTTAAATCAATCTAAGAATTTGCCTGCCAAATCATGTGATATATAAATGGGTGCCTGACGCCACCATTAAAAGTCAATTGTAAGACTATGA